AGTTGTAAAAAAAAATAAAAATGGATATTGAATGTATAAAATTCATATAGTTAAAAAAATTGTCAAAATGTATAAAATTCATATAGTTAAAAAAATTGAGTATTCTCTAGTCATCGAATATTGAATAACAGATTTTTTGATGGATGATTTAGATTGAGGAATTGGATAAACTTTGTATATTCTATTATTTTTATTCAAAATCTGAACATATGTGCAACCTCGTAGAGCATTTTCAATGCATTTTTTGAATTGCTATTCAAGTGAATGCAAGTTGAAGGACTACCCCTCAGCTCCCCTAAAAAGGGTCATTAGAACTTAATTAATCAAACAATATAAAGTACTAAAATTAAGCTCATGCACGTTTAAGACCCTGTTTGGATTGATTTTAGAGGCCAAGTGCTGATTCTCCAACAGAAGTTGTATTTAAAAAAAAAATAAATTTAAAAAATCTAATTTTGGGATTTTAAAAAAAATCTAATTTTGGGCCCCCTAAAGAGCTGGGCTTGAAGAAATGGCCTCTTGAGCCTCTCCTCAGGTCTGGCTTTGCATCAAACATTGACCAAAACACCGTGTTTCTCTACAAGAGAAATAGTTATATGAACTTTGTTATTTGTACACTTATTTTTGACATGTTGGTTGACTCTTATATTGTTGTCAAATGTCAATTAGATGAAAAAAATATTTGAAATTTAAATTGTTTAATAGGATAATGTCACGTGACAAAGTGTAAACAAAAGTTATGCCACCATAATGTATATGTAACAAGGTTATATATATTGTGATGGCAGCTGGGGCGTGGTGGCCAAATAATAAATTTCCTACTCTACTCATATATTTTATATGCAGAAAAATGATCATATGATTATTCATTTCAGACTTGGATTAATGCGGAGATGGAATTCTATCTCCGAGTGACAATATTCCATTCAAATCTAAAACTACTAGGGAATAGAATAAATGTCTATTTACTTTTTTAAGTATGTTAGTTTGTATGATAATATTTCAGTCCAATGACAAGTTCAATAACCATTTTTTGATTAAGGGTCTACATAGTTAAGTTCAATTCTAATACAAATAGACCGAATTGTTACCAAATAAGCATTCTACATATGGAATTAAATAGTTCCATGTGCACTCATGGAATAGATATTCTTTAGATATTTTTGGAAGACAATAATTATAGAGTAGAAATGGAAGGTTTCATTTTAATGCTTTCTGTATGGTGGTAATAGTGTTTATTATTTGGAATATGGGTTAATAGCACAAAACGTCCCTAAGTTTGATACTTATTGCGGAAAATGTCCCTACGTTTCATTTTTTTACATTTTCGTCCTTATTTCAACGTTTCATTACTAAAAATGTCCCTTTTAAAACCCAAAAAAAAACAGAAAAAGAAAAGAAAAATCAAGAATAAATTACAATTTTATTCGTAAATGTTTTAAAAAGTGCAAGTATGTCCAAATAATTATTAAAAGGCATAATAGTATAAAACGTCCCTACGTTTGATATGTAGCGTGCAAAACGTCCTTACATTTCAAATTGATGAAAATAATGCTTTTCGCAATGAAACATGATAATAAGGATGAAAATGCAAAAAAAAATTGAAAAGTATGGACGTTTTACTCAAGAAGTGTCAAAAATAGGGACGTTTTCCATAAGAAGTGTCAAGCGTAGGGATTTTTTTTGCTAGGCCTTATTAAAATTGAAACCATTGCCACACTGGTGAACCTCCATATCATTTCCAAAATACCATCACCCAAACTCCAATGGCACCACCTGTTCCGGAGAGATCCATGTCATTTCCAACACACCCATCGACTATACTCACCAGGACGCTTTTCTTCATGGTCTCTTCTTCTCCAAATTGGACTAACACCTTAGAAATGAAAAAACTCCGACCAACATGTTGGTTGACACTTATATTGTTGTCAAATGCCAATTGGATGAACAAAACTGTTTGAAATTTAAATTGTTCAATATGATAATGTCACGTGACAAAGTGTAAACAAAAGTTACGCCGTCATAGTGTATATGTAGCAAGATTATATATATTGTGACGGCAGCTGGGGCGTGGTGGCCAAATAATAAATTTCCTACTCTACACATATATTTTATATGCGGAAAAATGATCATATGATTATTCATTTCAGACTTGGATTAATGCGGAGATGGAATTCTATCTCTGAGTGACAATATTCCATTCAAATCTAAAACTACTAGGGAATAGAATAAATGTCTATTTACTTTTTTAAGTATGTTAGTTTGTATGATAATATTTTACTCTAGTGACAAGTTCAATAACCATTTTTTGATTAAGGGTCTACATAGTTAAGTTCAATTCTAATACAAATAGATCGAATTGATACCAAATAAGCATTCTACATATGGAATTAAATAGTTCCATGTACACTCATGGAATAGATATTCTTTAGATATTTTTGGAAGAAAATAATTATAGGGTAGAAATGGAAGGTTTCACTTTAATGCTTTCTGTATGGTGGTAATAGTGTTTATTATTTGGAATATGGGCTAATAGCACAAAACGTCCCTAAGTTTGACACTTTTGCGGAAAATATCCCTACGTTTCATTTTTTTTACATTTTCGTCCTTATTTCAACGTTTCATTGCTAAAAATGTCCCTTTTAGAACCCAAAAGAAAAAAGAAAAAGAAAAGAAAAATCAAGAATAAATTACAATTTTATTCATAAATGTTTTAAAAAGTGCAAGTAAGTCCAAATAATTAATAAAAGGCATAATAGTATAAAATGTCCCTACGTTTGATATGTAGCGTGCAAAACGTCCTTACATTTCAAATTGATGAAAATGACGTTTTTCGCGATGGAACGTGATAATAAGGATGAAAATGCAAAAAAAAATTGAAATGTATGGACGTTTTACGCAAGAAGTGTCAAAAGTAGGGACGTTTTCCGCAAGAAGTGTCCAGCATAGGGATGTTTTGTGCTAGGCCTTATTAAAATTGAAACCATTGCCAAACCAGTGAACCTCCATATCATTTCCAAAATACCATCACCCAAACTCCAACGACACCACCTGTTCCGAAGAGATCCATGTTATTTCCAACACACCAATCGACTATACTCATCGGAGCGCTTCTCTTCATGGTCTCTTCTTCTCCAAATGAGACTGCCACCTTAGAAATGAAAAACTCCAACCAACATGTTGGTTAACACTTATATTGTTGCCAAATATCAATTGGATGAACAAAACTGTTTGAAATTTAAATTGTTTAATATGATAATGTCACGTGACAAAGTGTAAACAAAAGTTACGCCGTCATAGTGTATATGTAGCAAGGTTATATATATTGTGATGGCAGCTGGGGCGTGGTGGCCAAATAATAAATTTCCTACTCTACTCATATATTTTATATGCGGAAAAATGATCATATGATTATTCATTTCAGACTTGGATTAACGCGGAGATGGAATTCATTAATGCGGAGATGGAATTCTATCTCCGAGTGACCATATTCCATTCAAATCTAAAACTATTAGGGAATAGAATAAATGTCTATTTACTTTTTTTAAGTATGTTAGTTTGTATGATAATATTTTAGTCTAGTGAGTTCAATGACCATTTTTTGATTAAGGGTCTACATAGTTAAGTTCAATTCTAATACAAATTGATCGAATTGATACCAAATAAGCATTCTACACATGGAATTAAATAGTTCCATGTGCACTTATGGAATAGATATTTTTTTGATATTTTTGGAAGAAGATAATCATGGAGTAGAAATTGAAGGTTCCACTTTAATGCTTTCTGTAAGGTGGTAATAGTGTTTATTATTTGGAATATCTATCAGGTCATGTAGATTCATCTAAATTAAAATAATAATTGATTTAACTGAAAATTTAAAAGCAGATGATCTTTTTGTCAAAAATGTATAAAATTCATATAGTTAAAAAAAAAAAAGTATAATCATAGTTACCTTGTACATACTGTACATTTACGTATTTGAAGGGTAAGAAGGTAGAAAAAAATATTGACATGAACTAAGTGGGATTAATAAATTATGAACGAGGTCCTTAAGCAGTCGTACTTATTGCTAAAATACAGTTGCATTTTGTTTGTAGTTGCTATCGTAATTTCATGCTAATAATTATGTATGGGGGTTGTGAGAAACATTTTAGCAAAAATTAGAGTTACGTCTTGGTTAAAGTTTCAACATAGGAAGAATTTTATGTTTCATCATAAATTGTGCATGTTTAGCACAAGTTTAAATTATACTTTAAACTTATCAAACACTTATTATCCATATACTCTATGAATCTACTACTTATCGCTTAGTTTTTATTCACACATTTCGAGAAACCTGCTTCTTAATTTATAATTTAAACACAACCAAATTTAAAAAAAGAATGTTAAAGACACAAGCTCTTCATTCTATGACGTTGTTCTTTTCCAGTGGTGGAGTTGGATTATCACTTTCGGGGTGAAAAAATTATGAAAAGACGATATACAAATATTATGTGTATTACATGTATTTTTAAAAAATAAAAATATTGCAGGGACGTTCATTTTCCCCGCCCCTTATGGCACCACTTCCTTTGCAATTTCCTCTTGTTCAGGTGTAAACTACTGTAATATGTTGCAAGTTCCCAAAAAATCGTAGCTTATTTTTTACTATTAATTTGAAATTGGATTGCTGATTTGAGCTTTTAACCGATAAAATTCCACATTTGAGCTTCTTAGGTTCTAATAAGTAAATTACATAATTTTGAGGTTCCATTGGAAAATATTTATACTGTTAAGAGGAATGATTCAAGCCGTTAAATGTTGTACGTATGCGTGAAGATGTAAGTTTCACCCTTAGCAGTAACGATATAGTCTTAAGAAGTCAATTTTCAATGTCGGTAGTTTTTAGCTTTCCATTACACCATTAGTCCATAGTGGGAGAAAAATCGTAGATATTAAAATCATTAATTCTGAGTGCGTGCTCCCGTTCTGCTATAAATACGGCATCTAAAATCCAGCTTTTGTGTATCCCTCGTCCCCTTCAAGAACTGGAGCTGTCTGAAAAATGGGTTCTTATTTCTTCTTTTTTCCTATGATATTGCTGTTGGCAGCAACTTGTTATGGCCAAGGATTTCAAAAATCGAGAGCAAGCTATTACGGTAGTCCCGAAGGCCTAGGAACTGCAAGTATGTGGTGCTCTCGTTTTCCCTTTCCCCTCTTCTTTATGATATTTTATTTTTTTGCACAACTATTTTACTTTTTTAATTTATTTTATTATTATTTTTTGTGTAAAATATGTGCTACACTTTTTGTAACACAATTTTATGTCTATTCCGCTGCATGTTTTCATCACTGTGGTGATTATCAACGTTGTCGTTGGGGCTGCCTATTTCCACCACCACCATTACAACCATTGACAACAATCTACAATGTCACCATCAAATTTTCACTTCCAGCCATCTCACGATAACCACCCTCGGTCACCACTAGATCAATACTATCTCAACTTGCCACCAGATTTGTACTACTATCAAGCCCACATGACTACAAAAATGACCATCACCCACCCCCATCGCTATCGCAATCGCCATCACCCATTTCTAAATTTTGTGTACAAAAGAGTTAAGTGATTTTCAATTTTTTTTACCAAATATTTTACTTATTCAAGATATTTTGACTCAGTCAACAGTACGGAATCATAATATTAATAATACCACTAGCATAGTAGATAGTAATATAGTAGTTTGGATTATTCAGTGTGATGATAACTAATTCAAATGAGCTTCTCATAATTTTACCAGCCGGAGCCTGTGGGTTTGGAGAGTTTGGAAAGACCGTCAACAATGGTGAAGTCGCGGGTGTCTCTAGGCTTTACAGTGGTGGAAGTGGTTGTGGAGCTTGCTATCTGGTAAGGCAATTTCTTCTTTAAATAAATTTAAAAAAAAATGAAATGAAAAAGAAGTTCGTGCTTTATAGAATCTCTTGGGGACCATGTTTGGAGCTATTAGTATCACAATTTTCTCCCATAAGCTGATGCCTAACATTCAATGACTCGATTAGGTAAAGTGCAAAATCCCAAAATACTGCAGCAGGGAGGGAGCAAAGGTCGTGGTAACGGATTATGGCGAGGGAGACAGAACAGACTTCATAATGAGCAAGCGTGGCTACGAAAAAATGGCTCGACCCAATATGGCTCCACAACTACTTGCTTATGGTGTAGTTGACATTGAATACAGAAGAGTTCCATGTAGTTATAATCGCAACCTTGAGCTAAGAATCCATGAGAATAGCAATTACCCTTCCTACTTGGCCCTGGCCCCTATATACAAAGATGGAATGTCTGATATCACTGGTATAGACATCGGACTGGTATATCCTCTAACAAAACTCTTCCTTTTTCTACGTCATGAGCATGAAGTTTTTATGCCATCGTGTTTTCCAAAGTTTAAAAGTTCGTTAAAGGTATTTTTCTTATAAGTGATATCATGCGTATGTCATGTAGGATGACTATCAATAATTTTCATTATGTATAACATTAATCTTCTTATAAATATGTTTGAACTTGATAGAAATTACTTTTGTTTTGAAATATTTTGTTTAGAAACTTACCTTTTAGACAAACATTTTCTATTTACTTTCTAAAAACGTTCTTTTTTTTTCTTCTTCAAATTAGAAGTTCTTTTTTATTTTTTATTTTTTTATTTGCTTCTTCAACTTAGAAGTCTCAATTTGAAGTAGACCACTAAATTTCAATTCTTCAAAATAGGTCACTATTACATTTCCATTCAACCAAAGCAATATACTTTTCTCAAATATTACAAGCTAAAAAGTAAGCATACAGAATTTCATTAGTACTAAAGTACCATAAGTTATTTAAAGATTAAAAAGTAGGTCAAACTTAGTCCCTGCTTGATTCAACCGAAAAATTAGATTAAAACCTTAGTAAAAAAATAACAATTAATTTTAATCACATATTTCATGGAACCTAAAACTTTTTAACTACATATTGCATCAATTTTTATCAAAAATCTACTAATAATCTGATTTTCATCTAAACCTATTAGGGGCTTACCTTTAAGTTACTTATTTTGTCAAACACGTTTCCGAAATTACTTGTTTGACTAGCAGAAGACGTAATTTCTAAAAAAAGTAATTTTTAAGCACAACTAAATATTCTTTTCAATGATCACTGACATTGTACTATTTCTGCTAATGAACAAAGGAGAATAGCCAGAAATGGAGGCCAATGCGTAGGGCGTATGGAACGGTATTCGACATTTCAAATCCACCCATCGGATCTCTTCGCGTTAGAATTTATTATGCCATCCCGTATGAAGTTAATTCGGTACAATTAACCCGTGCCATTCCTATGGATTGGAAGGCTGGAGCTGCATACGACACTGCATCTCAACTTAATTAAGCTCCAAACTACCCGTTCCACCTACTTTTTACATATATATATATGTATAGTATAAAAAAAGGTTGAACCCCAACCTTGAGGGCTCTCACCGCCCCGTCCCTAGAGCTTTGTGAGATATATATGTAAAGTGTGTGTGTGTGTGTGTGTGTGTGTGTGTGTGTAACAAGTTAAAAATAAATAAGTGGGACTTTTGTTCAGTTGTGATATAAATAAAATTTCTGTAATATTTAGTTATTTATGCTACCCTGGTACAAACTTAGGCCCCGTTTGATATACATTAATGTAAAAATGAGAATGAAAAATATAGTCGTTATGGACCCTACACAAAAGATGAAAAGTCAAATATGGTGGTTTGATGTGATGGATAACGACCATATTTTTTATTTTAATGGGTAAATAATGGAAAACAAACAGGGGCTTAATATTTTTTAGTTAAGTTTATGGGACATTAATCCCGGTTTATTAATGTGTTTTAAGAGTCAAGTTTGTTGAATGTAAGAACCTCTTCAATAGTCTTTTTTATTTATTTATAGAAGCATCTCGTATATAATAGAAAATATTTTGAAATTTAAACAGTAAGACTTTCGATACACTCAAACAAGCTCTTTATTTTACTTTTTCAAAATATATTTATTTTTTCCCCACATTTTCAATTAACATATATTTTTATAGATGTCAATTGCCAATAAATTCAAAGAGAATTTGAATAATCCAAGAAATGAATAATCGAAATTTGCAATTTATTAAATGCAATGTGATCTTTGGATTCATAATGCTTATGACATAACATGGGTCTTCATGACTGAAGCGATGGAGGGAAATGCTCAAACTTTATGTAAATGGCGATTCTACTTCTAGAGTCATGTGAGAAATGATTAAAATGGTGATTGAGTGCAAACTTACTTTTACCCACATAGGATAGCATATAGGGTTGTAGACCAATTGGTGCCTAGGACACGACATTGTGACGTGATAGAACTTGACCGATAAGCTATTGGATGAAGTCATGCATCAAGCATCCAGGAAGCCTTCATTCATTTCTCTCATTTATAAATATTCAAACTTCCCTCTCACAAAATACGAATCCGAATCTAAATTATATTCTCTCCTCCACATGTCGTTTCCATACCCAATACACTTTAATCTCATTATTCTGACTGACTTGAGCATCAAAGTACGTATGATCGTGACCTCTCATATCCCTTTGTGTTTTGAGAGTATTCTTGCATGTCTGCATGCGCTCCAAGTGCCCATGTAACATACGCTTGGAGAGAAGTAGAGGCAGGATCTGTTGATGCCAACATTTATGTTTGAAAGGTTTCAATGCAAGTGTTTTAGTGAAATTTGAAATTAATATATTAATTTTTTCACTTATTTGAAAGCTATTATTTTTGTGTCGCTAAATCAATGATTTGAAACCAAATCAAACCGCAAAATATGATTTGGTTTGATTCTGCTGACCTCTAAATTTGGCCTGATAATAGAATTCAGGCCATATCCTTTTCCATATAGGCATCACATGCGCATTGGAAAAGAACCATTAAGGTGTAAAGGAGCCGTCCAAAAAAAAAAACTTGACAACCTTTTAAATTCGAAGGTCAAATCAACTATCAAAACAGGTCATGGAATGAGTGCAAGAAAAATGTGTAAGACGGGATTTGGCAAATGTTTAGATGAACATGCCTTCAAGTCTAGATGTGTGCACAGAGAGAGAGAGAGAGAGAGAGAGGGCCAAACGGGTTAGGGATCGGGCTCAAGCCCGAGAAGAGGTTACTTAGGTTTACTCGGCTATATCCAATTAACATTGTTGAGGGCTAGTCAACTAATGTTAGCCTCTCTTTGTCACGTGCATGCCATGTAATTTATTGATATGCCAATAGTTTACCATATCTGAGGCGTACATTTAGGTGTGGGTCAAAAATGCGAGTTATCTTCAATTAGACGATGACTTACCAATTGCCTTATGAATATAAGTAGATCCCAAATAAGTGAGGATTTACAAATTGCCTCTAATATACGAGCCCATCCCTAACAAGTATGAGCTTACGAATGGTCTTAGAAATATAGTCGACTTCAAATTGATGAGAGCTTATAAATTACCTTGCATACATTCCAAGATGCAACAAAATTTCAACAACATCTATTTGTAATGTGGACTAAACTAACCTGAAATACAACACAATATCTTCACTGTACATATACAAACTAAATAGGGCCCCGTCTACCTCTTCAAATTCTCGTGACGAAAAGTGAAATAATAACATATCAAACTTTTTTAAACTGTAATATGTGGAGAGCCCATCAAGCTATATGATCATATATCATGACGAATAATAAGCTTGCATACATTAGAATAACATTATTATTGGTCTAAATCAAGTAATAGCTATCGATAATAAAATGGTAATGAAAATAATGTGACATTTGTAATGAACATAGCATTATGCCATGCCAGCATTAGCAAGTTTAGTTAGAAAAATAAAACGATTTGATTTTAAAATAGTTGAAAACCATCCAAATCAAATCGTGTTTACTCCTACCTTTTGTTTGCTGCCTCCTAGAGATGCTAAAGCCTAAAAAGTGAGGACTAATTGCACAGATTTCTCAAAAGAAATATAATGTGGCACATGGGATTCGAAAAGTTGATGGTTTTACCACTGCACTAGACATGCAGCTAGTAACGTAATTATTCTAAGTTTTAGCGAGTAGGTTAAAAGATAAATTTAACTTACCGATATTATGTTTTTATATTAACCTTTCCTTTTTCAAATAATTTAACGTAGGTGTTACGCCTCACCTCCTACATGGAAGCAAACTTGGACCCGCATTCATGCACTCTACCTAACAGACAGTTTGGTCAAACCCCGTGAAGAGGCCAAACCTATATGGGATATCGAACCCATTTGACTGAGTTAAGCCCATATGAAGAATCAAAACCTCATGAGGGCAAGGCTTCAAGGGGGCCTAGTAAGAGATCTTCTATACAATCCCTAGTACGTGATTGATGTGACAAGTCACTGCTATTGCCACTATATCAAGCCAATGAAGTCAAGTTTAAGCCTACTGATGGGCAACAAAATAGTATTAGCATTAAATGCCTATGATTGATTGATGCTTTTGACGAGAAGCTTTAGCCGTATGGATGAGGCCATGTACACTTTAATCCTATGGCAGATATCCATCATATTTTGCTATAAAAGCTCGCACAATGTGTCATTCCAAAGGTGATGCAAGTTTAAACTCTCAATCACAATTTGCTATATTTATTGTTATTATCACAATTTTTTCCAAAACTGACCCCCTTTTTATATTAGAGACTCGTGTCTAAAGCACCTTCTAGACCCATATTTACTACTTCAATTGCTTGGCCGTCGGAGTGCGCGTGGCCAACTTCACTACCAGGGGAGAAGGCTACGTATGATTAATGGTTTGTCGAAGTGTGCAGAAATCAGACTTATGTGGACATGGGAAGCCTTGATATCTGTTGACTATGTTGGAGGTACAAAATTTGAGGTCAAAGATTGACATCGTTCGTGGGAAACACACTAGTGTGTCAAACTCCACCCTTGAAGAAAGGTATCTGTTCTTGAAGAAAGGACAAGTGATAGTGCTATTTGAAGTGTTGATACACAAATCGTTAGTATACCATGAAGAAGAAGTCCTTCGAACCAATGAAAATATTCGTAGACCCCACCACCAACACCGTTGAGGAGGTGGCATTACTGCATGCCTTGCAAGAAATCTTAAAGAAATGGCTGCCAACATGAGAAATATTACCTAACAAAATACTGACGTGCAATAATTACTTATGCTAATGTAGGGACAGGCTAGCATCAAATGCCTCAGCAAAATGTTTTTCAACAAGATGAGGAGGGACATAGCCAGAGGGCTTACCCTCTAAGGCAAAGGAAAAAGGCTAGCCCAATTGAAAGGAAAGTTGAGGTGGATACATCAAGTAATTATACTTCAAGTCAACCTATTGATGATTTACCTCAAGGGGCAGAAAATGTCTCTCCAAAATACTCATAGGAGCATGGATCCATATAATGCACGTTTGGTATTCAATAGTACTAGACTCTATCGTTAACAAGATTTTACTTCTTTTTTCCGTCAATACTGTTGAGTACTATTTGACTCCCTCTGTACTTGGCCGTAGTTCCATTGTACAAGGAGGTAATGTATGATATCATCACTATTTAAGTATGGCTAATATATACTCTTAAGTCAAATAAACTATTCTTTTTTACTTATCAAAATATGGTTTTTAAATAAAATTTTACTTTTTAAAACGGTAACTTGGGCATTGATGTTGTTAGGAGGATTACAAGTAATAGAGGCCAATTTGAAGAGTTTATGGAACATTATTCGACCTTCAAAACCCACCACTGGGGCCTCTCAACTTCAGACTTCCGGTGGTGGTCGAGGGCAACACTGAAGTGAAGTGAGTGCAATTAGCTAGCGCCATTCCTAATGATTGGAAGTCTGGAATTGTTTATGACACTGGTTTTAGCTTAACTAATTAAGCTCCAACCACGAATGTGTAACATCTATAGGCTCGACTACTTGTTAATTATTTCTAGTGCTTTGGATTATGTTTGGTGAAGGATTCTCTTTACTTCATTTGTAACTCATGTTTAGTATTGATATGAGTAAAATTACTAGAATTTCATCTTTTCACTTGTTTATAACTATTGACAAAGATGGGCCCAAATCAAATGTTATGTCAATTTCAATATTACTTGCTTTCCAGGCGAAGTTGGGAATTTATGTTGCATGACACAAATTTTTTAAAAGTTAATGTACGAATAAAATTCGTATATTTACTATTATAGTTTTGCCGGACAAGATTTTATAGTATAAAATTAATCTATAATAGATTCTACATCTAAATTTTTGCTTGATGTAGTGTGTCATACAATTAACAAGAAAACCATAATCAATTTTGATATAAATTGTTATTTTCACATATTTCATTGTTGAAAATGCTTGCCCAATAGTCGTCGCTAAAAAGGCAAATGTCAATACCAGACAAATCAATTT